GTGATATTTCTGTTCAGTTTATCTTTATGTCTTTTTTTAATCTTCATTTTATTCTTGCATTGTTTTCCTTATTCCTTTTATATCTTTGTCTGTTTTCCCTTAACTCTTTAATTATGTTTAACATTGTATTATATTCTTCCATTCTTTTCATTATTCGGTCTTCCACAGATGCACTTTCACTCCTTTTATCATGTTCTTTGTATGGGCGGTTGTTTCTCTTTTCTTTGTGTGTCTTGTGATTTTTTGTTGGGAAACTGGAATTTTCAAAAGTATTAACTTTCTCAGTTCTGCTCAGTATTTGGTGTTTTTGCCTGTACTACTTTCTGCAAAAAAAATACTCTCAGGCAGGCAGAGCCTTCAGCCTTTGCTCACCATTTCCTCCCCCTCTTTGTGATAGCTCCTTCTCCCTTCTGGGTTTAACTAGGATTCAAACGTTTCAGATATTAGATTTCAAATTTCAATGCCTCCCAAACACACTAGAAACACACTGTGGTCCATCTGTCCACCAGCGGGCACTGCCATTCAGGTGATATACTGAGCACTAATCAGTCTCTCAACCTGGGGGCACAGTCCCCTCTCTCTAGTTATTACTCCCTTCCCTTCTCTGTTTCTGTAACCATTTTTCAGTCAGAAAACCCACATTCAGCAAGGCCCCTTCAGGGCCGGGTGTTGCCCTCTGGTTATGCCTGAGGCTTTCTTCCCTGCTCTGTTGGGGCTACTTATATCTGAGCTGGCATGCAGGTGAAGCACAGGCAAAGTTTCCTCCGTTTCAGGAGGAGGAGTCAATCCCCACATTTTGAGGACTAGATTCATGTTGATTCTTACTGCACATCCATATACTATTTAAAACAAAAAAGAAATTCATAGTAACTGTCTCTGAGGAAGCCTGGACATTAACCTTACTAGACAAAGACTTTAAATCAACTAATATTAAGAACTTGGCCGCTACCCAAAAGGTCTGAAGTTCGAATCCGCCGGCCGCTCCTTGGAAACCCTGTGGGGCAGCTCTACTCTGTCCTATAGGGTTGCTATAAGTCAGAATCAACTTGGCAGAAACGGGTTTGCTTTTTTGTTTTGGAATATAAATATGCTCAAAGAGCTAAGGAAGCCATTTACAAAGTACTAAAGGAAATCATGAGAATGATGTCTTACCAAGAATATCAGTAAGAGACAGAAATTATAAAAAAGAACCAAATAGAAATTTTGGAGCTGAAAAGTACAATAACTGAAATGAAAAACTAGTGGACTGAAACAGCAGATCTGAACAGGAAGAAGAAAGAATCAGTAAACTTGAAAATAGGGCAACTGATTATTTAGTCTGAGGAGAAGAAAAAAGAATAAAGAAAAATAATAGAGCCTAATAAACCTGTGGGATACCATCAAGCATATCAAGATATGCAAAATGAGAGTCCCAGAGGGAGAGCAGAGAGAAAAAGGGGAAGGAGTATTTAAAGAAATAATGAATGAAATTTCCTAAATTTGAAGACATGAATCTACACATCCAAGAAGCTCAAAAAACTCGAAGTAGGATAAACTCAAAGAGATTCACACTAAGACATATTATAATAAAACTATAGAAAACCAAAGAGAATCTTGAGAGCAGAAAGACAGAAAAGACTCATAATATACAATAAATACTCAGTATAATTATTCATCAGAAATCTTGGAGGCCAGAGGCAGTGGGATGACATATTCAAAGTGCTGAAAGAAGAAAAACAAAAACAAAAAACTGTTCACCAGGAATTCTATATCTGGAGACATTCTTTGCAGCGTCACCGTGGACTCCTGCTTCAACAGTGCTTGAATGGAACCTGGCGCTTGCCAACCTTCCCTCAACTGGCTGCTCCCAGCCAGCCTTCCACCACCTCCTCACAACAGCACCCTCGGACGTGCCAAGGCCACCTCCGCTCCAGTGCCTCACAGCTGCTCCTGCCTCTCCTCAACCGCCACCATGATGACCGTATCCCCCTTGCAAGTACACCAGAACTATAATCAGGACTCGGAGGCCGCCATCAACTGCCAGATCCACCTGGAGCTCTACACCTCCTATGTCTACTTGTCCACGTCTTACTACTGCAACTGTGATGATGGGGCTCTGAAGATTTTTGCCAAATATTTTTTTCACCAATCTCACGAGGTGAGGGACCATGCTGAGAAGCTGATGAAGCTGCAGAACCAACGAGGTGGCAGAGTCTTCCGTCAGGATATCAAGAAACCAGACTGTGATGACTGGGAGAGCAGGCTGAATGCAATGGAGTGTGCGTTACACTTGGAAAAAAGCGTGAATCAGTCACTACTGAACCGCACAAACTGGCCACTGACAAGAATGACCCCTATTTGTGTGACTTCACTGAGACTCATTACCTACACGAGCAGGTGAAATCCATCAAAGAACTGGGTGACTATGTAACCAACTTGCGCAAGATGGGAGCCCCGGAATCTGTCCTGGCAGAGTATCTCGTTGAGACGCACACCCTGGGAGACAGTGATGGAGACAGCTAAGCTTTAGCCTGGCTTCCCCATAGCCACAGGGGTGACTTCCGTGTCACCGGGACAGCGCATGCATGCAGGGTTTACCTTACCTTTTCTATAAATTGTACCGAAACATCCACTTAAGTTCTTTCATTCCTTCAAATAAAGTAATTTTGTTCCCCCACCCCCCCAAAAAAATTCTATGTCTAGCAAAACTATCCTTAAAAATGACATTGCTAAACAAATGCAGAAGGCACGTGTTCTTTGCATAAATATATGGTATATGAAATGTCCCAAACAGGCAAATCAATAGGGGCAGAAAAGAGATTACTGGTTGCCTAAGAAAAACCAAAACCCATTGCTGTTGACTTGATCCCAGCCCATAGGGTTTCCAAGGCTGTAAATCTTTACGGAAGCAGACTGCCACATCTTTCTCCTGAGGAGTGGCTGGTGGGTTCCAACCATCGACCTTTTGGTTAGCAGCCGAGGGCTTACACCACTGTGCCACCAGGCCCTCTCCAGTGGTTGCCAAGGGCTGGCATTTCAGCTTATCTGAATCCACAATCAACACGCATGGAAGCAGCAGTTAAGAAATCAAATGATGTGTTGCACTGGGCAAGCCTGCTGCAAAAGACCTCTTTAAAGTATAAAAAAGCCAATATGTCACTTTGAGGACTAAGGTGCACCTGACCCAAGCCATGGCATTTTCAATCACCTCATATGTGTGTGAAAGCTGGACAATGAATAAGGAAGACCGAAGAAGAATTGATGCCTTTGAATTATGGTGTTGGTGAAGAATACTGACTATATCATGGACTGCCAGAAGAACGAACAAATCTGTCTTGGAAGAAGCACAGCCAGAATTCTCCTTAGACAGGAGGATGGTGAGACTTCGTCTCACATACTTTGGACATTATCAGAAGGGATCAGTCCCTGGAGAAAGACATCACTCTTGGTGGTAAAGTAGAGGGTCAGCAAAAGAGAGGAAGACCCTCAATGAGATGGACTGACACAGCGGCTGCAGCAAGGAGCTCAAGCATAACAAGGATTGTGAGGATGGTGCAGGACCAGGCAGTGTTTTGTTCTGCTATACACTGGGTTGCTATGAGTTGGAACCAACTCGATGGCACCTAACTACAACAGGGCCTGGGGAAAGAGGGGAATGAGAAGTGACTGCTTAATGGGTAAGAACTTCCTTTTTGAGGTGATGAAAATGTTCTGCAATTAGACAGTGGGGATGATAGCACAATATTGTGAATATACTTAAAGCCACTGAATTGTACAATTTAAAATAGTTAAAATGGTTAATTTTATATAAATTCTATCTAAAAAAACCAGTATGTAACTGGCATACATATGAGAAAAAATCAGTTTTACTGCTGAGTAAAGAATAAGAAAACAAGTAGTTTCTTTCCTGCTTCTTGTATATGGGTTAAGACTATTGGCCCAGCAGATAAACCCTACTGGTTTGAATTGTAGTTTTACTTCTTACTCATCATATGACCCAAGATAAGTTATGTAATTTTATGTGAACCTCAGTTTGTCCTCTGTGAAACAGAGGAGAATGAAAGTACCAAACTCAGGAGACACAGTGAGGATTAAATGAAACAACGCTGATCAAGGGCCAAGCCCAGGGCCTGAACAGACATGAGCATGACCGATGTTGATTATTATTAGTACTGTTCTTCCTGTTAAAGTTTTATATTCACAGCTACTAAAGACGTGATGTCTCTTGGCGGTGCAAATGGCTAACATGCTACTGAGCGAAAGGACGGAGGTGCGAGTCCACCCAGAGGTGCCTCTGAAGAAAGGCCTGGTGATCTACTTCTGAAAAATCAGCCACTGAAAACCCTGGGGAGCACAGTTCTACTCTGACACACATGGGGTCGCCATGAGTTGGAACTGACTTGGTGTAACAGGAACTAGATACGATAACTTATCCAGAGAATCGGAAAATCAATCACTATTGGTTAAAACAAATTTTTTTCTTCCTGCTAGGGGGGGAGATGATAAATATGAAGGCAGTCATGACTTTTCCTCCTTTTCTGCTCATTTAGCAGTAGGTTTAGAGGAGAAACTAGTGATACGTGGATGTGGGCCAATCACTCTGTTCAACGAGGGCTATCAGATCACACCGATGCGCAGTGTAATCCAGGATGAGGCATGCAGGTGGATTAATGTACGAAATCCATCAAGAAATTAAGGCTCAGATTCACTGGGGGGGAATACTGTACTAATCTCTGGGTCCAGCCCTAAATGAACTTCCCCCACCCCCAACAAAAGCTAGCCACCACCACCATCACCTATGCCACTTGCTGGCAAGCCTTTCCTCTCCTGCATATCCTTCAAGGCCACCTCCTCCTGCATATCCTTCAAGGCCACCTCCTCCTGCAGATCCTTCAAGGCCACCTCCTCCTGCATATCCTTCAAGGCCACATCCTCCTGCAGAAAGCCCTTCTGGTTAGCCCAGCCACACTCCAAGTCCAGCCAAGCTATGAGCAGTGAAGGGAAAGGCCTGGCGTACTCACTGAAGTCTCGGGCAGTTCAGACCCAGGGCCGTGAGAGAAGCGTCCGTGAGGTTGCTGCACCCAGAAACGCAGAGAGCCTGCAACCGGTGGCAGCCCCTGCAAATCTGCACTACACCTTCATCTGTGATGTGCTGGGGGAAAAACACCACAGGAATAAAACCGTCAGTTCTGAAACAGGAGCAGAAAAATGGGATCTACTGTGGTCAATTCGTTTTGGCTGCCATTACCTGGCATTTTATCCTAATAATTTACACACAATAAAGTAGGGGGCAGAGATGTCTCCGTGCCACCTTGGAACAACTTGAAAATATTCCAGCATTACTAAGGAAAAGTGAAAACTTAAGATTTCATTGCCCTCCCCTGACCCTGAGTGTCAACAAAACAGATACAGAGTTTTTGGAGGGGGGGGGGAACAATCCAAAAAATTATGTTAAAAATCAGATGAAATTAAGATCTCGTGAAGACTTGCGTAGCTAAGTGGCATATTATCTTTTGTTTCAATTTTTCTACAAATTAATGCTCTAGATATCCACCATATAAAAAATATTTATAATACTATATTTTTTATTACATTATTTACAAAATATAATTATTTCCTCATATTTTGGAAAATAGTAAAATTAAATCAATCACTAAATTATTGATAAATGGCTTAGAATTCTATTAACTTAGCCATGAAGGGTCAAAATAATACTTAAATATACTAATTCATATAGAAATTATATCTCAAGCCATCCGCCACCGCCATCTTACACGCAGTTCAAGGTCCTGTTTTTGAACAGAGCAGGTCGATAAGGGCAAAATTTGTCCAGGAAACAGTTTCTCTATTCTCACTCACCATCAGGGAATCTAAACATTCACGAGTTATTAATTAAAAGCTGAATGCAAGGAATTTTCTCTTGCCTTTCTGAAAATCTTCGTTCCCCTTGAGAAGCCCAGTAGGATGTAGCATATGTGCTTTTCCATGATCGATATTTACAATAACAATGAAGAAGGAGCAACAGTCTCTCACAGGCTAACGCTCTTTGCTTTAGCATACACCCTTTACTTGTCAAAGCATTTTCACGTCTGTTATATCATGTTTGGGGCCCTGGTGGTGCAGTGGTTACGAGCTTGGCTGCTAACCAAAAGGTCGGCAGTTCGAATCCACCAGCCACTCCGTGGAAACCCTATGGGGGCAGTTCTACTCTGTCCCATAGAGTTGCTATGCGTCGGAATTGACTCGACGACAATAGGTTTGGTTTTTTCATTTTTAGCCACTGAGAAAATGTGAGAGGTATCATTATCCTCAATTTATAAGTGGAAAAAAAAAGACCTTGAGACCTTGTCATGAATTGTCCAAGTCTTACAACTAGTTAGTGGCTACTTCAGTACATTCTTGACATCTTTCCTAACACTGGTTAAAAACACCAAGACCCCAATCTACATTATTTTTAGGGGAAATGTCAGAGGCTTGGTGCTGAGTGTAATGCCTTTTTGTTGTTGTTCTTTCATCCCGTGGCAGATTACTGGGTCATCTAAGGGCACAGAGTAAGAGGTGGGTGTGGTGAGTGTGGCCACTCCCACGACGTCACCTGCCTGGGGTGCTCACAGCGGTGCCCAGAGCAGACTCCCGAGGGAGAGAACACAGAATAGGACGGCGCTCACAGAAAAGGCATGCTACTTACTGAGCAGGATTGTAAGTTCAGGCTCACAAGCTCGTGGCAGTAATTCTGAATGTGTTTCAGGGCTTCGTCTTCTAACTAAGCGAACAGAGTAAACAGAAGAGAAATGCAATCTGGGTGAGGGATATGTGACAGCCAAGTTCCCTGGTGAAGTCCCCACACCTCACCCATGAGATGAACGCAGCCGTGTTGACCCCTTGGTACCTGAGTGCAGCCCCTCAGAAGCAGTGCTTTCAGGCCTCGACAGCCTCGCACCAGTGCCTCGATGCCGTCCTTTGTGATCTGATCACACCAAGAGAGATTCAGGTACTCCAGGTTTCGGCAGCCCTCACTGAGACAACAAAAACAAAACAAAATCACCCACGTGCAGTCTATCCTGTAGAGTTCATTACTGACTTTGAGTTCAGTACATCATGAGTAATTCAGGGGGAAGAGCACCCACATGACCTGTCCGAGTTGCCCACTTCCTGCTCCAATGGGACCATCAGGAAGGTTCCATACACCCCAGAATATTCACAGTTTGGTGAATTATTTCTCTTCACCACAAACAGCGGGCACACGTACCTGATGCCCTTTAAGGAGCTGTTTGTAATGGACACACAGGAGGTCAGGTCCAGGTGTTTCAGCTTGGAACAGAATCTGCTGAGGCTGTAACATGTGCTGTAAAACAGCAGACAAACTAAAGATATTTTCAACCACGTTTCTTTCCCTTCACTCTCCCTGTGGCTATCTAGTCACCAAACTAATCCACACTACTTACCTGTCAGTGATTTTTGTGCATCCATTGAGGTTTAAATGTTCAATGTTTTGGCAGTTCTGTGCAAAGGTCCTAAAATGAGAAGACATTTTTAAAACTCCCTCAGGAGTGATGCAAGGTGCTGGGCAGGCACTAGAGGGCATGTGTCCACACCCAGAACAGTGGTTCTCAAACCTTAATGAACATGCAGATCATCTGGGGCTCCTGTCACAGTGCAGATTCTGATAGCAGATCTGGTGCAGGATGCTTTTCTAAGCAGCTCCCAGGTGACCCAGTGCTGCTAGCCCAGGCCCCTCACTCAGAGAAGCAAGGCTCTAGACTGACTACCTAGGTCCTGACTCTCCTTTACCCACATCTTGCTGAGTCGTCTGAGAACTGAGGCCTCGCTCCCTGTTCCTTTCTACAGAAAAATTATTTTGAAGTGAGAGGGCCAAATCTTTCTTGTACTGTGCCATGCTGTCACTTGGTTACCATGGAGACTTTCTAGAGAATCCATCTCTGGCCAGTGATATGGGACAGTAGTTGATCAACATCAAGATGCATACATTTACTGGTGAGGACATGGAGGTAAGAAGGGCACCTTTCTCAATGATTGTTTGGTAGTAAGGCCAGAAGCAGAAAATCAAACGTTCCCTACTTGCCACTCACTGATTAGCATACTCAGCAAGGGCTGGCTGATGCCATCTGCATCTTCCTGAAATGCAGCTAGCATATCTGATAGGATCAATCCTGATTCTACTGTGTGTTATTCAAAAGCCTCCAAAATCTGTCCTTAGACCACCCTGTCACCCTTGTCTGCTCCTTCTGCTCTGTGCGGTGCAGGGAGGGGAGCCAAGGTGGAGCCTGGTGGACTCCTTGTGTTGAGGAGATGCAGCTACCTAGAAAGATCAAGGCAGCTAGAATTAGCAAAGGAGAATGCTGGAGCGGAGAGAACTGCACAGACAGAGAGCTCCAGAGATCTGCAGAGTGTCTCCTCAAGAGTTCAGCAGAGTACTGATTAGTGCATGCATGTGAGAAAACTACTCAAGGCCGGGGAAAGAACCAACCAAAAGCGTTAGAGGGAACAACAGCCAGAGCTCACTCAAGGTCAGGAACAGTGCCGAACCCCACCAATCAAGAGTGAAAAACCTCGTAATTCATGGGGCACTGGGTAGGGCACTTAATAGAGTCTTGGTTCAGGAGTGGTGCACAATTCTCCCTAGACTCAACACTGCTTTGGTCCCATCTAACAAATCTTAAAAGCAAAACCTGTAGGGAATTATTCCTAAGTAAGTTAACTGCATCCCAGAACAAAACTCAAGAATACTGATGTTGATGTTAGGTCCTATCAAGTCAGTTCCGACTCACAGCAACCCTGTGTACAACAGAACCAAACACTGCTTGGTTGTGTGCCATCCTCACAATTGTTGTTATGCCTGAGTTCACTGTTGTGGCCCCTGTGTCAATCCATCTCATGGAGGGTCTTCCTCTTTTTCACTGACCCTCTACCCAAGCATGATGTCTTTCTCCAGGGAGTAGTCCCTCCTAATAACATCTCCAAAGTATGTGAGACAAAGTGTTACCATTCTTGCTTCTAAAGAGCATTCTGACTGTACTTCTTCCAAGACAGATTTGTTCATTTTTCTGGCAGTTCAGGTATAGTCAATATTCTTCACCAACACTATAATTCAAAGATGTAAATTCTTCTTTGGTCTTCCTAATATTCATCACCCAACAAAGTAAACTTCACAATGTCAGGCATCAAACCAAAAATTAATGTGCACGCACCAAGAAGAAGGAGAATACATCCATAACGAGGGCAACACTCAATCTATCGATCCAGAACTGACAGATGTTAAAAAGAGCAGACAAGGCCATTAAAAGTTATTATAACCGTGTTCCATAAAATATAGTTCTGTGAAGCCAGAGTAAAGATTAAGCATGTTATGTAGGGACATGGGAGATATAAAAAAGATCCAAATTGAACTTTTAGATATGAAAACCACAATGGCTAAGATGAAATCTTACTAGATGGGATTAACGGCCAACTAGACATTGTAGAAGAAAAGGTTAGTGAACTTGAAGACATAGCAATAAACTATCCAAAAGGAAATGCAGAGAGAGGTAGAAAAAGAAGAGAACATCACTGAACTGTGGGACAACAGCAAGTAACATACGTATAAACGTACCATATTTTTACCCAAATAACACTCAGTCTTCTACGTTTGTTTGCCAACTGAGCCTTCTCACTGCAAGGTATTTTCATAAGTGTGCTATACTTTTTTTTTTTTAACAGCGACACGTGAAAAATAATTGGTGGAGTGGTGCTTATGAAAATACTCACGGGGGGAAGGGTGTAGTTGGCAAACAAATGTAGAAGGCACATATTATTTGCATAAAAATACAGTAATTAGACTCTCCAAAGAAGAGGAGATGGGGGAGGAGAGGAAGAGAAAAAATATCTGAATAATGGCCAAAAGTTTTATAAATCTCATGAAAACTATAAACACACAGATCCAAGAAACTCAATCTCCAAGTATGAGAAAAATGAAGAAAACTACACAAAGGCACAATCATAATCAGTTTGCTCAAAATTAATGATAAGGAGATAATCTTTTAAAAAGTCAGAGTAAAAAGGCATGTTTTGTACAGAGCAACAAAGAAGGATGAGAGCAGATTTCTCACTGGCAACAATCAAACAAGAAGACAATGGGGCAACATCTTTAATACTGAAGTTTAAAAAAAAACTGTCAACATAAAATTCTATACTCAGTGAAAATATCTTTCAAAAATGCAGGAAAAATAAAGACTTTTTCAGACATAAAAAACCTGAAAGAATTCATCACCAGCAGATCCACACTATAAGAAGTATTTAAAAAAAAAAAAAAAAAAAAAAAAAGTTCTTCAGGCAAAAAGAAAAAGATACCAGGAGAAAATATGTTATCTATACAAAGAAATGAGGAATACTGGAAATGGTACCTACGTGGGTATGTAGGATTTTTTAGTTACTATTTAAATCTCTTCAAAAATATTTGACTTTGAAAACAAATACACTAAAAGTCTAGTGTGGAGTTCGTAACATATGCAGAACTAAAAGTGTACGACAACAATAGCATAAAGGCTGAGCAGGCAGCAATGGAAGTGAGATGGTATAATCTCAAGGTAGACTGTGGTAAGTTACAGATGCACACTGTAAACCCTAGGAGTCCATGCATAGTGCAGATGGTTAAGCACTCAACTTCTAACCAAAAGGTTGATGGTTTAAACCCCCCAAGTGCCTTGGAAGAAAGACCTGGCAATCTGCTTCTGAAAGGTCACAGCCTTGAAACCTAAACTAACCACTAAAATTACAAAACAAAGAGTTACAGCTCATAATTCCAAAAAAAAAAAATATGAAATGAAAGCACAAAAATACTCAGTTAATTCAAAAGAAGATGGAAAAAGGGAAGAAAAGAATGTACAGGAGAAATAGAACACAAACAGCAAGATAGATTTAAACACTCTTGTTGCTGTTGTTAACTGCTGTCAATAATCACATTAAATATAAGTGGTCTGAACACCAAATTTAAAAGGCAGACTTGTCAGACTGGTTAAAAAGGCAAAACTCAACCATACGCTAATAACAAGAAACAAACTTTAAATATAAAGTTAAAAGTAAAAGGATGGAAAGAAAAAGATATACTGTGCTAACACTAATCAAAAGAAAGCTGGAGTGGCTATATTAATACTAGACAAAGTAGATCTCAGAGCAAAGATACTACGAGAATAAAAGAAGGCCATAGCATAAATGAAATAAAAAAGTGGTCAGTTCATCACAAGGACATAACAATCCTAAATGTTTATATACTGTCTTAGTCATCTAGTACTGCTACAACAGAAATACCACAAGTGGATGGCTTTAACAAAGAGAAATGTATTTCTTCACAGTAAAGTAGGCTAAAAGTCCAAATTCAGGGCATCAGCTCCAGGGGAAGTCTTTCTCTCTGTCGGCCTTCTCATCATTGTTCCCCTAGACGAGGAGCTTCTCCGCACAGGGACCCCGGGTCCAAAGGACAGGCTCTGCTCCTGGCACTGCTTTCTTGGTGGTATGAGGTCCCCAACTCTCTGCTTACTTCCCTTTCCTTTTATCTCTTGAGAGACAAAAGGTGGTGCAGGCTACACCCCAGGGAAACTCCCTTTACATTGGATCAGGGATGTGACCTGGGTAAGGGTGGTATTACAGTCCTACCCTAATCCTCTTATACACAAAATTACAATCACAAAATGGAGGCCAACCACACAATTCTGGGAATCATGGCCCAGCCAAATTGATACACACGTTTTTTGGGGGACATAATTCAAACCATGACATATACCTAGTAACAGCTTAAAAATACATGAAGCACGTTCTACATTCTACTTTGGTGAGTAGCGCCTGCAGTCTTAAAAGCTTGTGAGCGGCCATCTAAGATACTCCACTGGTCTCACCCCGTCTGCAGCAAGGGAGAAGGAAGAAAACCAAGACACAAAGGAAAGATTAGTCCAAAGGACTAATGGACCACCACTACCCCAGCCTCCACCAGACTGAGTCCAGCACAACTAGATAGTGCCCAGCTACCACCACTGACTGCCCTGACAGGGATCACAATAGAGGGTCCCCGACAGAGCTGGAGAAAAATGTAGAACGAAATTCTAACTCACAAAAAAAGACCAGACTTACTGGCCTGGCAGAGACTGGAGAAACCCCAAGAGTATGGCCCTGGACACCCTTATGCCTCAGTACTGAAGTCACTCCTGAGGTTCACCCTTCGGCCAAAGATTAGACAGGCCCATAAAACAAAACGAGACTAAAGCGGCACACCAGCCCAGGGGCAAGGACGAGAGGGCAGGAAAAGACAAGAAAGCCGGTAATGGGGGAACCCAAGGTCGAGAAGGGGAGAGGGTTAACATGTTGTGGGGTTGGCAACCCATGTCACAAAACAATATATGTATTGTTTAATGAGGAAGTTGTTTGCTCTGTAAACCTTCATCTAAAGTACAATAAAAAAAAAAATGGTTGAAATGGCAAAAAAAAAAAAAAAAAATTACATGAAGCAAAAAGTAATCAGATTTCA